CGTACTGTGGTCAATAGAGTATCACCCGAAAAATGTAACTGGCTAGCTAATATTCTTGATAGTAACGTACGACATGGATTAATCATTAAAACATTGGATGCCGATTACGACGATATTGCTTCTTTAAATAAACTGAACGTATTGAATTGTCTACAATGTGAAAAACATGTGAAACACTGCGCATTACAAAATGTATTTACAATATTTAATTGGTGGTCTAAACGACAATAAAAAGTTATACAAAACAACTTTGTACATTTACTGCCCTTCTCTTCCATAGCATATGTTTATATAAATTAACGCGGTTTAACATGGTTTCATAGCTGAACGTGGTTTGTTTATGGTTTAATTATAGTTGAATGTGGTTCAATTATGGTTGAACGTGGTTTGTTTATGGTTCGATTATGGTTCGATTATGGTTGAACGTAGTTCGATTATGGTTGAACGTGGTTCGATGTTGGTTAAACGTGGTTCAATTTTAATTGAAAATGGTTTAATTATGATATGACCGAGGTTAAACGTGGTTTGTTTTGCGGTTTATTTGTGGTTACACACGGTTCAAGTATTATTGAACATGGTACAATCGGGATTAAACGTGGATTGATTATGTTTCGTTCGACATATTCTTACACATGTATGTGTGATTACATTATGTTTCGGAACGCGGTGCGAAGCGAAGCGAGTAAGACGAGACAGTTGCAGAATTACAATTTCATATTATATGTGTAGAACGCAGTGCAAATCAAGACGAATATGATTAAGTTGCAAAGGTTGTTGGCAAGAAATAACAATGACAAAGTATACATATTTTATTACTTAATCTAGTTCTGTGTATCGAGAGGAAATCAGGGTTGGATTAGACAACAGGTTGTAATAAAGAAATCATTTGTACAAACTAATTAATTTATTATACACTAATGTATACACAACGTTATAAGAATAAGCAATATAAAAAGGAACAATATATAAGTATACATATTTATTATGTGTATATTATAAACTGTAAATAAAACATTAAAAGTAAAATAGTATAAGTAAAAATGTAATACAAATATAACAACATATAAAACTACTATAACAATAAAAAGTAGCACATTCTGCTGCAATCAGTATCTTTGTCCAATTTCTCGTCTGCTTCTTGTATTTCTTCGGAAAAAAAATGAATTGGTTGAATTGTTCCGCGTATAATATGTTCCGTTGATGACTGTGTTTATGTAATCGCGTCCTTGGCAAACAATCAAGAACGGACAGTATTCAAACCACTTTGCATGTTGTTCCCAGAGAACATCTTCCGGATTCCAATCTCTCAATCCTTCTCCGCAATAGTAACACAACGTCTGATCATCTCTCCCCGTGTAATAAAATCCAGCATTTGCCAGATCTTGTTTTGTTTGTTTTGATAATTTTGGCCATGCTTCAAATGTATTGATTCTTGCTTCATAAGTGTCAAATTGTGGATATTTCGGTTTCGACAATATTTTGTTTAACATTCCAATGTCCTCGGTAACATCATCCAAATCGGAAACGGACATAAAACACGTGGATTTCTCGTCTGCTTCGTCCATTTTTTTCGGAATTGTGCTAGAATCCACACCAATGGCTACGTTGCCGTAGAATAAGTTTTCAACAAGTCAACATCGTCTGGACCACCGTTGATCGGCCATTGGATTGTCATTCGTTTCCCATTTGCTTATTTCAAGTTTACATTCGAAACATTTCACCTTATCTTCTTCGCCCGTGTAATAAAATCCAGCTGCTGCCAGTCTTTCCGGTTTTATCCACGAGCATGGCCAATCTTTAAAACTGGCTAATCAAACAGATTTGAATCTATATTTTTCTTGACAGTTCTCCGGAATACAAGCAATTCTGATGAATAAACAATTCTCTTTTTTTATCTCTGTAAACTGATGGTCAAACGCGAACATCGAGCTCTTAAATACTACTGTCCCCACCGTTTCTTTCAATTTAATTGGACAAAAGATAGCTCCTTTTCCATTGAAATTGTGATTAATTAGCAGAAAAACGAATGTTTACTATGCATATTGTAATTTTATATCTTTGCAACACACACGTTTTTTAGTGCATCATTGCATTGCACATTTCAGCACAATTCTCTTTTTCTCATAGCACAGTATTGGGACAAGACATGAAGGAATAAAGTTTTCATTTATTTAATATATTTAATATATTTATTTAGTATGTTATGTACAGTACAAAAAAAGCACACAAATATATTTCATAATATATGTAGAAAGGGCCGATACGGAGTAAAATACTAGGTGTTGATGTATAAATAAAGATTATCATTTATACATCAACACCTAGTATTTTACTCCGTATCAGCCCTTTCTACATATATTATTTAACAATTTCACGGAGTATACATAAATCAAACAATTATATTGTTAAATATATTTCATTCTTTGCTACCATCGCTCGTTTACAAAAACTTCACCTTCTGTTTGCAACAGATGTCTATTCTCCATGAATTCCAGTATACATGCTCTGCATTATAGGCTGGTCCATTGATTTTAAACAGTAGTTTAGCGCATGTCATACANTGCATTGCCCACGGTAGAAAAAATAATGTGCTGTACAGGGAATGAGTATCCGTGCATACAACGAATAAATCCATTGGTCCTTGTTGTTCGTAACATTCCACACATATTTGTCGTCGTGGTATGCGTTGCTCCGGGCGGGTTCCGTTTGACCACAGTACGATTCGACACCGCTCGATTCGACACAGATTTATTCGACACCAAATTATTCGACACCGTACGATT